TGAAAAGATCCAGCATTTTTGAAAAGTAATTAACAGGTAAATCAAAGAAAAACCTTCTATATATTAATACACAGTTGGTGTACCAGATTCAATTTTGTGTGCTACTGCATATATAACTTTTCTAAAGGGAATTCACATTTGTAAAAGTTAAATGGTTTTCTTTTAAAAGTGTTTTATTTTTAGTGTCCAAAACTGCAGTTTTCTTACATTCTCGGAATTACTAACATCAGAGATTTGTTTGTTGGTTTTATTGTCACATCAACACTTAAATACGGGTCATATAATAACTTTCAATCTTTACTGGTGAAGGAAAAAGTGTGACATAGGTATTATTTTTAACGCGTAGAACCACCAATATTCTATAAGTTAGTTTGGGATAGCTATGTCAGATAATAGATTCCAAAACCCAGGCAGGACTCGAACCTACATCGTTAACACCGTAAGAAGCAAGTGTTTTGAAGTCAGTAAAACACTCGACCAAAACTTCCAATTTAGTTATCTGTATGAAAGTATAGGTGCTGTTTTGTTCAGTATTTCCTACTTATATGGCACATTATGATGTTTCACAGTCAGCGCTTATTTCAGCCGATAGGCAATTTACACGCTTTATATTTGTTATAATATGAAACATATTTTCTAAAGAAGAAAGCTGAGGCACGTTTTTGCTGAGGCTAAACGTGCCTCATTAATGTATGAATTATTTGAAGATAATTCAATATAAAAATATAAATCTAAAAGCACAATCCTATCTTGGTTTTCATAGTACCTACATTTTCAGTTTGACATACAATTGTTTTATTTTAAAAGCAGAATGCAAAGTTCGCATTTTTATTTATCATGTTATGTTGTAACAATTTTACAGATGCGAAACAATGTGTCTCTGTGAAAAGGGCAGGCTAAAAGTTTCAACAGCACCGGCCGAAAAAGTGGAGATGTAATTTCAGCATTGAACAAGGGCAGGGCAATATGTATATATACATGTGTAGCGTTGTCAGACTATATGGATAGTCGGGCCTCGGTGACAAAAATGATGAAATAACATTGTGTTTTTTCAGTGTCTTAACATTCAGAAGATTCATTTTATTTTAAAATGTCTTTTTACATTAATTTATTTTACAAAACTTCCATGGTAAAGTAAGTGCAATTAAGCATTGGTAAGATATTTACTTGAAGGATTGATTTTCAGAACAGAAATACAAATACAATGCATATAAATAATAATTATTCGTGTAAAATGTATTGCAATTTTGAATTATAATATTAATTTAGATAGATTCATACAACTTCATTCTTGGTAGAGCTAACTTGTAAGAATATTTAATGGAATCTGACTTAAAGTAAAAAAAATAATTTTATCATTAGTGGGTGGGGTAATGTTTTATACCAGTCTAAATGATGATGTATAGATTATGCAGTGTTGCGACTTTTTGAATGTAATCAACATTGGTTGAAGTGTTTTAGATTAAATAAAGCATGTTTGTGTATTAAAGTGTTACTTTGTTAATGATCATATTTGCGTAGAATATCTGGGTTATTTAATTTCACAGATTTTTCTAATTGAAAACACATGATTTCAAAACATGACATTTTTAGCATTTTATACTTCGAATTTTTTTGAGGACTTTTTTCCTGTAGCAACACATATATAGTAGATAACAAATAAGCAAATATCTTTTCTGAAGGAATTTGTTTGAGGTTGGGTCTTATTTTTGGCTAAAATGCCTAGCCTATAAGTTTGCAAAGTTTGCAAATCCGATTTTAAAGTTAAGTGACTTTGTGGTTTAACTTGATGTAAATAATACAGTAGGTTCCCCTACTGTTAACAAAGTCAATGATGTCATACCACGTGACTTACTCAACGAATTTGATCAGATAAGGCGCAGAGTACCCGTAATTATATCAGCGTTTTACGGTATATCAATATTCTGAAAAACCCTGAATGGTTTTTGAGAACTTCATTTAAGCCGGGACCAAGGGGAACGGTACACTCATTTGTCATAACAAGCGATTTCTAGCAAGTCATATGTTTTTTGTCACTATTTCATAGAAAAATACATGTTAAATCTGATAGATTTACTATGTCCAATTTATCGAGTGAATGCAGTAATGTTGAAATGGTACGGAACACAGTGTTATTTCAAAAGATAAAGTACACACGCAAATTCTGTCTCTGAAATAAATCTTAAGTTAAATATATAAAAAATAATTTCAATTGTGATTTGAATGATTGTTTTATAGTTATATATTTTATTGATTTAGACGAGAACCCGGGGACCTGTTTTACAAAATATCGTTACGCGTAAACGTGCAGGATAATGCAAAAATAAAAGACAAAACGTTTTGAGAATACGTCGAGCACAGTTCGATTTTAAATGTTGCGCAATTATAACATGTTAAATGTTACAAGTAATTGTTGAGGAAGTGATATCTATAGGAAATTGAGAAAACGAAAGTAGACATTAAAATCAGGTTTTTTTTCTAATAAAAACAGATTGTTTTCTCAAATTCCTATCTATCACTTTTTCAACAATAACTTGTAATATTAACATGTTATAGCCATATATTAATTGCCAACATTTAAATTGAATTATGTGCGACGCACTCTCAGAATTTTAATTTACCACAAGTAATAAATAAGTTATTAATAAAAAAACATACATGAATCGGGTGAAAAATCGGCGTGCTCCGTACCCGAAGAGTCACGTGGTATGGCCACATTGAAAATCATATTTAAAAACTAATATGGTTTTATTACACCAAACGACGCCAGAAAGCGTGGCGCTCAAACGTAATCGTTGTATTTCTAGAAACCAATCGAAAGCGCTCAGAAATTCTGTCTGTCATAATACAATGGAAATAAAATGCTTTGTTTCTAGATATAAGATCTAGATAAACTGCGAGATTATTGCTGCATCGTCACAAAATAAATAGATAAATAAATAAATAAATAAATAAAAATAAATAAATAATTAAATAATAAAAAATAGTCAACAGAATATAAAAATCTAAGTGTATTAGGAAGCTAACAGGACACATACAGGATATGGAAATCTTCTAGTTGCTCGAATAGCTAACGGCTCAATGTTTCTCAAGTAAATGATAACATGGCAATTATAAAAAATAACAATCTACAATATGAAATCATCTTCATCAAATACGGAAATGACCTGGCAGTATTTGGCATTTACGACTAGAAGTCTTCATAAATACAGTGTACATAAAATTCTCAGTGCATGGAACAGAACAGAACAGAACATTCTCTTTATTTGGAAGACACATATTACAGAATATAATATCCTGCAATAGCATGTGTGCAAATTTATGAACAAGATAATAAGCAGTGTAAATGGTCAATAAATAAGTGGTAAAAGACCATACAAACAAACAAAGTAATGATCAAATAAATATTGCTTATGAGCATGTTTAATAGAGATAACTGATATTACATAATGTAATTGTGTTTAATTTTTTTTATTCTTTAAATGAATGGTATATTAATTTATACCAATGTGATTGGATTCAAATAAATGTTGTATCTGGACGAACAAAGAAAATTTAAAGTGAAAACGTACCTTTGCGTTAAACAAAACAAAAAGAAAAAAAGAGGGAAAAAGAGATAAATGAAAAAATACATGCGTAGAATGATATTGACGATTTCTGCTCAATAGTCATATTAACATTTTTGATACAGTATCGTGGCGCGTGAAAAAGTATTGAACACAATGAATAATACTATTTCAGTAAACATGCGAATCATTTTCAAAGTATAAATGGAGTGTTCTAATGCATAAAAAACAATCTAAAAGATAGGGAATATAATAGAACTTCCATGAATACAACACTCGAAATGTAATGAAGTGTGCGTATGGCACATGAAGGGAGATAACCACATAGCTTTACATGACAGATGTAGTTGCATTTACTTACCTTTAGTAAAAGTTGGGTGGTAATAGATAAACTCTTAATAATTGAATTAAATATGTTTAATTATGTATTTTATAGAATAAGTTTTCAGATCGGAGAAAACTGGTGATCTCCGCCTACTGAAAGTACATAGTACATTTGTAGTAGTAGCTAGTTTATATCGCTTGTAACTATTATGAGTACTATATTATACTATTATAAATATTATACATACTATTATAAATACTTAACTATACTTTTATGATCACAATGCTATGATATCCTGTACTATACTGTGCCTCGCTGTAATGCACTGTACTGTACTGTACTGCACTGCACTGCACTGCACTGTACTGAACTGTACTGAACTGTACTGTACTGTACTGTACTGTACTGTACTGTACTGTACTGAACTGAACTGAACTGAACTGTACTGTACTGATTTGATATGCTTTGCTGTACTGTGCTGCACTGCACTGTTATAATATGATGTGCTGTACGGTACTGTACTATTACAAATAACTCATGTTTGTATTACCTAAGAATTACTGAAGCGTGATGTTGACCTGAAATAGCAAAGGGTTAACCCTTTGTTTGATTCAGACTGAATGTTGTGTCTAATAATTATCTATTTTAATTGTTTGTAATGTAGCAACATAACTATATAAAAAATGCAGAGTTTATGTTTTAATTATAGTAATTTTGGTTGTTATGTTACTATGCTGCAATACTATCCGATGATGATTTAAAAAAAAAAGTTATTGTATATGATCATTGTATATTATAACGTGTTTTATATTTGTTGGTATTTTCAACATTATATAGTTGTATATCATTATGCTATGAGGCCACATAAAGCTCTAACTTGTTATGAAAGGCTATTTAGCTAATACAATAACAATATATGTTGGGTCTTTTAAATACACATTTAGCAGTTAAACTTCTTAAATGCAAACGAAGCGGTTAGTGGGTTAAATTATCAACTACACAACATTTACAATCTTATCATTGTAAAAAAAGGTTACGATAAATGTGTTAAAAAGGTTAAAATCTAATGCAGTTACTTAAGCGTAAAAAAACAAGTTATTTTTTAACTCGGTATTAAAAGTGTACTGGATTGCTTAAGATGATGGAGTTTGAACTGTTTTGTTTTGCGTTAGGAATGGTTTTACTATATGTTTTAATTAGTAAAAGAAAGAAAGGAAATGGAAAAGCGCTCGTCGGACCAAAAGGTCAGCCTATACTTGGAAGTATCTTGGAAATTGATGACGAGAATATGCATTTTAAATTTTCAGAATATGCAGAACAATATGGTGAAATATACCAAGTTAAACTACTTTTTGATACATTTATAGTGTTGAATAGTGAGCGGGTTATTAGGAAATGTTTTGGAGGTGATAAATACAAGCACGTTTTTAATGATCGATCCGAGTTATTTTACGGAAGACACTTTGCTTGCAATAGCAAAGCTTTAGGTTTTGTGGTTGATGGGACAGGACGGTTTCATAGAACTGCAAGGAAACATGTTATGCAAGCTTTGCATGCATATGGGAGTGGACTACGTGATTTAGAGAATAACGTAATGACTGAATTATCTAATTTACATACGAGAATTGAGGATGGGAATATTTTTGAATGTGTTTCCTTAATATTTCAGTCTATCTCAAATGTTCTGTCACTAATGGTAGGTTCTGTTTGGGTTACATTATGTCTGCATGTAGCATTAACTCAAAACAATCGCTTTATGTATAAAAATGTTTGTCATATGGTAAGGCACAATATATAGTCTGTCTGGGCTCTATTGAGATACTAGGCTACTTACACATTGTCTCCTTTTAGAGGTATCGATTGCTGCAATGTAACAAAACTCAATAGCCGGTTATATTGAAATGCCTCATCACATTCCTAATTGGTAAAGAAAGATGAAATATATCGCATTAATTCAAAGTTACTCTGAACTTTAAGCCGTCATTCTCTAGGGAAAAAAGTCGATGTCATTATTATTCATGTTATTAAAGAAATTCAACAGAACATTAATTAAAATTGATTATGCCACGTCATAATGTGATGACTTCATTAAAGAGAATGTGTGACGTTACGCGGTAAAATCGTTCAAACATACTTAATATTATTTAAAAAACATGAACTTAAAAGAAAATGTATTTGTTTAACATATAAGAATGAAAATATTTCATTCGTGAACACTTTCTATTCTACTTTAACTCGTGGCTACGCCACTCGTCAAATATTGCATCTTATGTTCACTCATTAAAATATATTTCAATCTTAAAAGCAAAACAAACAAATAAAAGCAAAATCAACATACAATGTATACGTAATTTAAAAGCGCACGACTTATCTTAAATAGGTGGGGTGGGGTGCGATGAGGTGTAAGACAGGCTTTATCCAAACAGTAAATAATCCTGCCTGATATGCAATTAAAATTAGGTTATGCTTGGTACATTTAGTATCTTTGATGAAAAATAACAATCCTTTTGATTTTATATTTTACAGTTGATTGGTGAACCAGTTTTAGACGATGAAAAAGAAAAGAACATGTTCTTGGATGAAATACAAGTTGAAGATTTCTTTCTGAATTCTTATGTAAACTTCATTATGTCAGTGTTACCATTTGTACGATATATCCCCGGAAGGTACAAACAAGAATTTCTAAAGGCGAAGGCAGTTAATGCAAAAATTGTAAAGAAATATTTTCACGATGTCAAGGTTTGCTTTCTTTTATTTTGTAAAGGGTTTAGTAAAATTGATACTGTTTGATAGGTTGATGTACACCTATCTATAAATTTTGAAAATTAAACAGAAATTTTGGTATATGTTAAAATCTTTTGACAATTTTTATTTATATGACAATGTTTTTTAAACTATAATATGTAAATGACATGCATCTTGGTAACGTAAAAAGGTATAGGTATACTTTCATTGACTCTTTTAGCGAATATTTTCCCGATGTTCACATTATGTACAAGTTTAAAATTATTACTTGATGCTGTGCTTGTTTTCTTTAACAGAGATCATTTGTTAGAGGAAAAGTCCGTGGTATCGTTGATGTATTTCTCGAGGAACAGAATCAACAAAAAGAAGCTGGAGAGGAGGTTTTCTTTACGGATGATACAATTATAGCGCAAGTGATTGACATAATAGATGGGGGTGAGCATTGTAATGATAATTAATAAAGTGATGATATAAACTGTATTACAGATAATTAGAATCTTTCACTGGCTGCCGGTAAAGTCCGGAATATCTAGCTTGAGGTTAACTGTTTACGGTTGTAACGAGGCTCTGCTGAGTTTCCGCTAAACAGGTTACCGAGAGTTAAATATTCCCGTCTTGACCGACAGCCGGTTTTTGATGCGTTTGCTTGCATATTGCGTATCAATTATTTTCAGAATAAAAATAAGAAAAACAAAGATAGATATTCTTATTACGCTCTTTTTTCTTATTGTAGCGTACGAACTTACAATTTATTTTTAACAGTAAAATGACGTATTCCTAAGAACGCAATTCAGTCATAAAAGGCGCGCGGCAATGATGTCATTTAAAGCACGCGACGTGTCTTACATTGGAGTGTATGTACGTTTTTTTCTAGCACCGTCGATAAGCGAGAACAATGTAATATATGGTGCTCAGAATAATACATTATGTATTTTGCATTGAAATGAAAACTTGTCAATAAGATCTATTCGAACAAATTTTGACAGTGACATAAAGCACATTTTTGTTTGGCCTATGAACACCGTATGAATACCGTGTTACAGTATCGCGTTTTTCGGTTACAGTATAGAATTTTCAAGATGGAGGATTATTTATTTGAAGAGATGTAAGTGATTTTTATTCAGGTCCATACTACTAGCAGTTTAGTTTCCAAAAGATGTGTTTGTGCTTTGCTTGTAAGGAACAGAATCCGGTATCTATATTTCTATATATTTCTACAGACCCTGCACCGCAGATTTATCTCTATATTGTCTCATAAATGTGCAGATTTGAAGGTTTAAAGATTTGAATCGAGAGACCAACACATTTTTTCCCATTCCGACATTATTTAAGCATGCCTAGATAAAGTAAATCTACAAAACGTTAGTCCTTTGTGTTTAGAAACGTTTATACATATTAAAGTAAATGACCAGTTGAACCTATTTTCCTGTTGGTAAAATGCGTTTGAAAAAATAAACAATGTGAGGTTAATTCTGAAGGGTTACAGAATAGACCTAGCGATTTAGATCCAATTCAATAATGTCGTAATTGGAGAAAATGCGTTGGTCTCTCGATTCAAATTTTCAAACTGTCAAATCTGCATATTTATGAGACAAAAGAACGATAATTCTGCGGTGCGGAGTCTGAAGATATATATGACTAGATACCGGATTCCGTTGTTAACAAGCAAAGCACAAAAGCATCTTTTAGAAAGTAAACTACTTGTAGTATGGACCGGAATAAAAATCACCTAACTGTCCTCATCTTTAAAATTCTATACTGTAACCGAAATCGCGATACTGTAACACGTTCCCTACGGTGATGAAATGATAAAGACATAGACCTAAACTTGTTAACGTTATTATTTTTAATTTGAAGCAGTAACCGTATTAGTGTAAGATAAGTGAAACTGTTTTGTTTTATCTCAAGATTTACACCACAGCTTCCATTTAACAATTGCTTTTTTAGAACAAACAAAAAGATCTGCACATTTAATTATTGTATTTAATCACATGCCGTGTCTACTATTACCCACGTTTGACAATATATGAAAAACACATGACTGATGGGGTGAAAGAGGGTATTATCAACACGAGAACTGGTATATTACCCCGTGGCGCAGACATGTGTTTTTTTTTAAATTTTATTATACCAAAAGACCTACAACTACAATATTTGTAAGGTACGCAGTCAAGGGAATAAATAGAATACACATCAGGGTACACATAAGTAAGAAATCTTCACCGGGGGGAAATCTCCTAATATGCCTATTCTGAATATGTAAAAGTTATGTGCCCCAAAGTGATATGATTAAGAAATATTCCCCTTGGAGTATTTATCAAGAGGGTGATATTTAAGAACAAATAAAAGGCCAATGGGAGATTTACTTTGAAGGATATATTGAGGTGTAATAAATTGTTTTATTTCGCCACACGTACACAACGTACAACATGTAATCACGTGAGCGAAGATGTTTCCATTCTATTACATATCTGTTAAGTAACATTAACATAGCTTTATACAAACATGATTTGTAATACAATATAGATCTTCTAAAAATCAAATATTTTTAATATTTGCTCTTTTGATCTCTTAATTCTGCAAGGTTTTTTATTTATTTGCTACCATTTTATAGGAATCACAACAACTTGGTCAGTTCTTTCAAATACAATGTTGATATTACTGAATCATCCACAATATCAGAGGCTGCTCCAGAATGAGTTTGACAGGGAAATTGGAAGACAACGACTTCCGACATTTAAAGACAGAAGTAATTGCTCATTTTTCAAAGCATTTGAGCTGGAAGTGCATAGATACATTACAGTTGTCCCACTTATGTTGCCTCATAAATGCAAAGAAGACGTAGAATTTGAAGGATATGATATTGCAATGAACAGTACAGTAAGTTATCGTCAACAAATGTAGCTTAATATTTGAAAACATAAGTACAAATATAGCTTTAATTATTAGTGGATGATGTGCATGAATATATCAAAATACAAACAAGTCTTATATTGAAACATTTGTCATATTGTCAGCTTTGATCTGTAAATTGTATAATCACATTCACATCATGTCATTGCAATTACCTACGGGTAATATTCCCTGCTTCCACCTGAACATTGTTTTGTTGGTCGTAAGTTATCTTGCCTGCTTCCATCAGAACAACATCTATTCATATTCCGGTCATAATGTCTTACAACATTAGGTCACGTTGCCTGCTTCCATCTGAACATTGTCTTACCACATTAGGTCATGTTGCCTGCTTTCATTTGAATACTGTCTTATCACATTCAGGTCATGTTGCAAACTTCCATCTGAACATGAACATTTTAATCATCTATAGGTCATATTACCTGTGTTTTTGTTATTTTGTAAACAATATCACCTAAAGGTCATGATGCAGTCCTATATGAATATTGTAATATCTCGCAGGGCATGTTGCATGCTTTCACCGAACATTATCTGATTACCATAGATCATCTTATCTGCTCCCACCTGAACATAATCTAATTACCTTTACGTCACGCTGCCTTCTTCCATCTGAGCATTGTCTAATCGTTCGCAAAAGTGTGTTGCCTACTTCCACCTGCTTACTTAACATTCTCAAACACTTAAACGTACATCACTGGTATGTGATACTGCTTGCTTCTACAAATGTGTATATTAATATCACACACTATATTATAACGTTTAATAGATATATTTCTTTGATTTATTTTCAAAGGATTTGCTTTTTTAACTAACTGCTGGGGATATAAACAATTTGTTTATACAGCATTTCTACGAAGGGTGACACATATTTCAATTAAGTATTTGTAATTATACATTATGTATCGAAAATAAGGTAATCAGGTCAAAGACAAAAATAATTAAGTGTTATAATATTTCAACTTTCCTATGTCATAGGTAGAAAATAATAATTGAAAACTACCTAAATATCTATAAACACGATCATACTTTCGGATACGGTGGCAAATGGGTGACCTGTGTGTGTGTGTTTTTATGTCGTTTGCAAGAGATACTTTGTCATACGCACGACTTTCTAAGTGGAGCGCACGAGATGCTATGTCGTGCGCACGACAAAGTAACTCCAGCGCACAGTATAATATATGGCAAGATTCTGTCACGCATGGTCATGACTTAGTAACTCGTGCGCACCACATAGGTATCTTGTGCGCGCCCCTCAGTACCTCGTTGTCATGACATAGAACAATGTATCTCGTGGCCACCAGTTACATATCTCTTGCACACGACTTCGCGATATAGTATCTCGTGTACTAGATAAATTGAAACTCACAAACGTCATTTATGTGCCACTGAGAGGTTCACTTTTGTTGTGTTGGATTTAAATTTAATTGTTTAATCAACATCATTCAAAAAGTCATTAAATAAGTTTTATTATATATTTCAGTGAAAACAGTTTCTTTGTAAGAATACAACAACATTAAAAGTTATTTTTCTATTCAAAGGTAATTGGGAACAGTTGGTATATCCACCACAACAAGGAGATTTGGGGAGATCCATGGACATTTCGCCCAGAGAGATTCTTGGACAGTCATGGCAACGTGCTTCCTTATGAGCACATATTGCGAAAGAAGTATAATAGTTCACAAGATTAAAGCTCATGATCGGCCTATAATATTTATATTATATAAGAAAAAGAAGTTTAAATTAATGATTTTTCGTATAAAATCTACTGTATTGCTTCTATATTCACATTGTAAATGTAAACCAGGTTGTAAAAGTTATAAGTTGATATACCAATCCTGGATGAAGAAAGAAATGATAGTGTAACATCTTTCTTTTTTTGTTTCAGCTTGATACCTTTTGGAAACGGGTTGCGTCAATGTCCAGGAGAATCCTTCGCGAAGACACGTTATTTTCTTTATGTCAGTAACCTTTTGCAGCGCTGGTGTTTTGAGTTTCCTGAAGAGATGCATGTCTCGTGTGATCCGAGAGTCTCCGAGAACTTTGATATCAGTGTTGTAATAAGACCAAAGCCGTTTTACTGTCACGCTAAAAGGCGGATATAAATTTATGTGCTTACATGTTATTTGTGTCGATTTTTTTTAAAAATGTATTCATTCATCATAACAGTAGTTAGGATTTTGTAATTATAATAGTTGATCTGAAATACCGTATTAGTTCAATAAAGATTACTTAGCAGGCAATTATGACTATCATTTATTCAGCAGTTACGCTACAGATACAGCTTATTCTTTCTAAAATCATATCATTTAAAGTGATATCTGGTTCTTTTGATATCGATAATGGGAGAAACAATGATACAGGTAAAGAAAACATTTCGTGTACAATTTATTGTCAGAAAATAGTTACATCTGAAATTAATGTTCCACCTCAGTATGTGTTAGGTTTACATGTGTAAGAAATGTCTAATTTAGGTCAATCTTAATGGTCATAAAAAGAAAGCTTCATTTGTAAAGTTGAATTTCATTTTAGAAATTAATAATAAAGGTACAGTCAACTATCGTTATCTCGACATCGCTTTTCTCGATATTTCGTTATCTCGATGAAATTTTGAAAGTCCCGATTTTCTTCCTTCTTTGTCTATATTGGAAATATTTGTTTATCTCGATATTTTTATTTCGATATTTTCAGTATCTCGATGTAAAATTTCAGCCCCAACAGTTATTTTCACACTATTATCCTTTGTTTATCTCGACATATAGTTTTCTTTCGTCTGTTCCCTTCAGATGTGTGAAAAACACAAACGAGACGATAATTGCTCATGGCGTGTGTCATAATGATGATTATGTTTGTTACAAGTTTAGCTGTTTTTATAAAAGTTAATCTATTTAGCGTGTTGATTGACTTATGTCCAAAATGAGTGAATTTTACGTTCTTTATATATATTATAACACTGTATTAATTCATTATGACTTTAAATGTAAATGAAATAGTGAAAATATAGAAACGCTATCGTTGCAATAATGTTTCACAACATCACCACCAGATCAATCAGCGGTCGAACAATCTCGAGAAAGACCCGAAAACTAACCCGGGAGGATATCCGGATCAACCACCCTGATGTTTTCGCTATATTGGTGTATTACTGAGTAAACCTCACTATGTGTTTTTTATCACAGACACCCGCTTTTCGGCTGTTAAACACCCGCTAATGTTACCTTGTTAAATATTGGCTAGGCCTATGAAAAGGAGACTTGGGGATATCATAGTTTATTTGCACATGTCTTTTGTAAAAATTGGTTTCTGCCTTATTCAAACCCTAATATGTTTATCTCGACATTTCGTTATCTCGATATTTTTTGGACGGTCCCGATGACTTCAAGATAACGAGAGTCGACTGTAGTTCAATATTGCCGACATTTTACGACGTGCAATGGCATATCGTTATGACAGCCTTGAAGATGAAACTGTTACCTAAATACGAAATAAATATAGCGCATATTCATTTTGCTTGTTCGTACATTTCAACAAAGTACGAAGAAAGTCATGGTGTCTCTCTTTAATAATAAACGATTGGTTGCTCATATGCATGTAAAGTTATCTAAACTTTTGTACGATTTGATATTTGCCTTTTTCGTAGATAATATATTTGGTTGTTAATTACCAAATGTAAGTCCATTGTCGATTTGAGATGTAATAACTTAAAAAATGGTTAGATCTAGTATATACTTACTATTAGTAATATTCTGGTTCTATAGTCAATTACAAAAGTAATAGCAAACAAAATGTAATTAGGTTATGTCAATATACAATACTTATATAATGATAATAAATTCTATATAATTTTAATGTTGTTTTTGTAGTTATCAACAGTCGTTACCTCACTACTAACGGTGCATATGAATTTGAGCAAAACATCACACAATAGGCCATGTAAAATGTTTTGTTCATTAATCATTTTATACATATTGAGGCGATAAGTAAGCTTTTAAAAAAAAAAAAAAAAAAAAAAAAAAAAAAAAAAAAAAAAAACATTAAATTGTTTATGTCCAATAGGATTGTAGTATATATCAAATGAAGCGCTACTGACCAATTTAATTGTGTAAATAGGTACTGATTAACTTTAAACTATACTTAAACATCATTTGTACTTTAATTTCTGCTTGACTTTCCGTGTTAACAAATACCCCTTTATACTATCATAAACATTTTATAAAAAATGAAATATGTATAATAAAACAAAAATAAGTCTCCACCCTTTGATTCAATTCTTCCATGCAGAGTTATTAATGAACCGACACGTTCAGCTTCACTGCAGAAAGTGATACCAAATAAATCAACTGGTAATTCGAACCGTGTGTGTACATTTAGAAAGAGAATGATTTGCCGCAGGCAAATGTTTATGTTTTTACTCCTATAATTTAGAATATTGGATTCTTTTGACGTATTTGAAATCCTCCATAAAGCTTTCGATTTGGGTCTTTTTTATTTTAGTTTTTTTTAATTAGATTTTACATTTCTTTTTTTTTTAATTCAAATACAACTTAACCAACCGTACATTCGAAGTCTCACACATCCTCTGTTTATGAAATATTTTTAGTGTCTCGTTTAAAGGGATACTCAGGCAAATATATGACAAAATATCAATTTTACCATATTTACTTTACTTACGCTAAAATGAAGTTTTTTTAAAGTGATTTAAAGTCCCAGCCTGTTTTTTCTTTATAAATACTTTATAATGTGAGTTTAAAACGTAAGTAATACTAAATAATTATGTTGAACGAAATGACGACGCAGACAGAACTAACGAGTAGTTTGAAAACAAGTCATTTGACAATCTTTTTTAAGGTCATTGTGAGTTTGACAAAGAACTAACAAATCTCACAGAGGTGTCAGTTACAAGCCTGGATCAACCTTGCGATTATAAGCCGAATAGATCTCAAGTTATTGTGAAGTCATTCTTTATCCAAAAAAACCTCTTTTTCCCTGTTGTCAAATACATATTCCTATCAGCATTGTTTTAATTTTTGAGGCAATTAATCGTTTCTGACATGTTTTTGTTTAAAAAAAAACATGCTTTAATACTTTCTTTTGTCAGATTCACTGGTAAAACTAAAGGGGCGGGGCCTACAGATTTTCACTAATCTAATCCATTTAAAAAAGTATATTTCCTTACAATTTATGTATGGGCACAGTGCAATCAAAAACATAATATTTTATTTCAAAAATTAATAATATCGAGACAAAACGAAACAGATAAAAAAACGTCCGTGTTTGGATTTCAAGCACAGGACAGCCATTTTAACAAAGTTTTCATAGCACGTGTACTATCACGGCTGTGGCGGCAATGCTATTAACAGGCGATTATTTTAATATATACAGAAGTGTTAAGTTATAAAACTTGGCGAGAAAAATTCACTATTTATATTGCGTTTGCACGCCTTATATTTAGTCAGGAACATAGTCCAGAGGCCTTCTTTATAAATATAACCAAAACTCTTTGAGACCCTAGAAAAAAATTAATTCGTTTTTACGAAATATAATAATTATTTCGTAATTAAGAAAT